TATTAACAAAGTCAAGGACAAAAACCATATGATCCTCTCAATAGATGCAGAAAAAGCATTTGATAAAATTCAACACCCATTCATGATAAAAACCCTGCAAAAAATTGGAATAGATGGTCTATACCTCAATTTAATAAAGGCTATTTATGAAAAACCATCAGCCAACATCATATTGAATGGCCAAAAACTGAAAACCTTCATGTTAAAATCAGGAACAAGACAAGGATGCCCACTATCGCCACTTCTCTTCAATATAGTTCTGGAAACATTAGCCACAGCAATTAGACAAGAGAAAGAAATTAAAGCAATAAAGATAGGAAAGGAAGAAGTTAAACTATCATTATTTGCTGATGATATGATACTCTACATTGAAGATCCAAAAAACTCCACCAAAAAACTTCTAGACTTAATTGACAGATTCAGTAAAGTATCTGGATACAAGGTGAATACCCAAAAATCAATAGCCTTTCTATACACAAATAACAGACAGACAGAAAGAGAAATAAGGGAAAAAATTCCTTTTACAATAGCATCCAAAAAAATGAAGTATCTAGGAATCAATCTAACAAAAGAAACAAAAGATCTCTACACTGAAAACTACAGCACTCTGAAAAAAGAAATCGAAGAGGATATAAAAAAATGGAAAGATATCCCCTGCTCCTGGGTAGGAAGAATCAACATAGTGAAAATGGCCATACTACCGAAACTGCTATATACATTCAATGCAATGCCAATTGAAATTCCAACACTATATTTCACAGAACTAGAAAAAAGAATCCAAAAATTCATTTGGAACCACAAGAGACCTAGAATAGCAAAAGCCATTATAGGCAACAGTCACATGGCACCAGGTGTAACAATTCCCAATTTGAAACTATACTACAAAGCCACTGTGATAAAATCAGCATGGTACTGGCAAAGAAATAGGCCTGAGGATCAATGGAACAGACTGGAAGACACAAAAACAAATGCAGATGTACTCAGCTACCTCATCTTCGACAAAGGAGCTCACCATCCTCAGTGGAGGAAAGATAGCCTCTTTAATAAATGGTGTTGGAAAAACTGGATATCAACCTGTCACAGATTAAAATTAGACCCTTATCTTTCGCCATGCACTAAATTAAAATCCAAATGGATTAAAGATCTAAATATTAAAACAGAAACATTAAACTTGCTGGAAAGTAAGTTAGGCAGAACTCTGGAAGACATTGGTATAGGAAAAGACTTTATGAACAAATCCTCAGTAGCACGGGAACTAGCAGAAAGAATCAACAACTGGGATCTCATCTTACTAAAAAGCTTCTGTACTTCAAAAGAAACCATTAGCAGAACTAAGAGACAATCTACAATGTGGGAAAAAATTTTTACCAGCTGTACCTCAGACAAAGGACTATTATCAAGGATATATAAAGAACTCAAAACAATCAGTCCCCCCAAATATAAAGACCCGATCCAAAAATGGGCATCCGAAATGAACAGACATTTCTCATACAAAGAAGTGAAAGCAGCAAGAAAATATATGAAAAAATGTTCCACATCACTGGTCATTCGAGAGATGCAGATGAAAACAACACTGAGATTCCACCTCACCCCACAAAGAATGGCTGCTATCAAGAAATCACACAATAACAAATGTTGGCGGGGTTGTGGGGAGAAAGGAACCCTCCTCCATTGTTGGTGGGAGTGCAGACTAGTGCAACCACTATGGAAATCAATATGGAGATACCTCAAAGAGCTTGGACTGGAGGTTCCATTTGACCCAGCCATCCCTCTGTTGGGTATCTTTCCAAGAGAACTAAAAGAATCATATCACAGAGAAGTATGTGCACCCATGTTTATAGCGGCACAGTTTGTAATAGCTAAATCTTGGAAACAACCTATTTGCCCATCCGTTGGAAACTGGATAAAGAAGTTGTGGTTTTTCTATAAAATGGAATATTACTCAGCCATAAAGAGCGAGAGAATAGATTCATTCATAGGAAAATGGATACATATTGAAGATATACTCCTAAGTGAAATAAATAAGTCCCACATGTGTAAATACCAAATAGTTTCCCTGGTGTGAATATTCTGCAACAATGCATAAGATTCTAATAAGATTACTGACATTTAGAAATGGGAGGAAAGGAGCTAAAGGTGTAGGGAAGGTGTGATACGTAGGGGAAGAACAAAAAGGGAAAAGAAAAAAATGTGAGAGAATGAAAAGATGAAAATAAAGTGTTTGTAGATGGGGAGGGGAGGAGGGGGTGAAGGGAGGGCAGAGGTAAGGGGAAAAAAATGAGAATCAAGACTTGCCATGTAAAGGTACATGATCCCAACAATGAATGTAACTGTACTGTATCCCTAAATGTACCAATAAACTCAATTAAAAAAAAATGATCTATTTTATATAAAAAGAGGAGAGAGTGCTTTAAGGAAAAAATATCAGGACAATGTAAATTGAATGTAAATGCATGTGAAATATTGAGATTATTAATCCAGGCTAAGGTAACACTGTACAGTTACATCAGTTGCCTTTGTGGTGTCCTTGTTACTTTCTTCTCAAGCACTCAGGCGACTCTCAGCACAACCAATTATGGCCAGAGATTTGGGTGTTCCCTTAACTCTCTCTCCCAAAAGATACTGGTTGTTTTTTCTCCCATAAAAAAGAGCAAACCTGATTACGCTGATTGGAAAACAGAAATTGTTCTGTAACGAATTGTCATTCATTAGTGGCACATGAGACTTTTCAGGGGCCTGGACTCAACTGTCCACTCTGGTTGGTCCAGAGACACAGCCAGGACCCCAGCAAGGTAAACCCTCTTTACTCCACATTCACACCAGGAGAACTTTAACTTCTAGTCTGAGTGTTTTCTGTGGACCCTCCAGATCTGCACTGTGCCCTCTTCTACTCTGTGCTGTTCCTAGGAGGATCTGAAATGAACAGCACCAACTGGATGTCTGCCAGAGATCATCCAGGAAACAGAGGAGAAGTGTGAAGCTGGGGTGACTGGGTCCCTTGGCTTGTTCTTGGTCTCTGCAGTTTGGCCGGGCCCTTTTCACAGAGGCCACATCCCAAAGGGAGGTCCTCTCCTTGATCTTTAGCTCTTCCCTCCCAGTTCCAATAAGTACCCCCCTCTTCTTGTCCCCTCAAGCCAAGGGCTGGTAGAAACAACCCTAGGGCCTGGTACTATTCTTGGTATTTTCTCTTAACCCTGCCCATACCTTGGTAAATAGTTTATTTAGTTATACTCCTCAATTGTTCTGTTTAAGTGTACTTTTTGAGTTCCTGTTGGCTGCCAGCCAATGCACTCCATGAACTATTTTCTTTGCAAACATGCTTATGTGGCCACCACCAAATCTCTCCAGACAGTATCGTGTTTCCTTTATTCCAAAGGTAAGGAGAAATGAGGATACGGATGTTGGGAGGTACACTGGTTCCCCAAACAAACAGTTATCAAGGCCTGAGGTGATAAAGACAGAAATCAAGCTAGGGGCCTGGGGAGGGAGAGGAATGGGGGTAATAGGATAGCTCAATGAGGGGGAAGAAATGCTCTAAGCCGTGGAAATTCTATGAATTTTGGAATGAGTTATGAGTTACACAAACAAGTCTTGATATCCACTATGGCTTAAATATGTCCACCAAAATTTCATGCGCTGAAAACCTAATCCTAAAGCCATAGGCTAATGGTATTTGCAGGTGGGGCCTTTGAGAGGTAATTAAGATCAGAGGAGATCAGGAGAGGGTGAGTCCATGATGGCATTGGTGGCTATATAGGAAGAGAGAGACCTGAGCTGGCACACTTGCTCTGTCTCCTAATGTGACAGCCTCCACTGTGTTGTGCTGCAGCAAGAAGGCCATCACCAGATGTCAAACAGATGTGGCTTTTGGAATTCCCATCTCCAGAGTCATGCATTGAGTCAAGCTCTATTTTTCATAAATTATCCAATCCCCGATATTCAGTTATAGCAACAGAAAATAGATCAGCAGAGTAGCATTAAGAAAATGTTATTTGAAAAACCTCAAAACATTCCCCATCAAGCCAAAAAAGGAAATAAGAAAAACTATGGCTGAGTAGTATTCCATTTTATAGAAAATCACATCTTCTTTATCCAGTCTATAAAACGGAATACTACTCAGCCATAAAGAATGAGAAATTAGAGTCATTTGTAGGAAAATGGATACATATTGAGAAAATACTCCTAAGTGAAATATATAAGTCACACATGTATAAATACCAAATAATTTCTCTGGTGTGAAATACTATAATGTTACATAAGAGCCTAATGATATAATTGACAATGTGAAATAGGAAGAAAAGGGCTAAAGGTGTAGGGGAAATAGGAATGGTAGGGGACAGGTAATAAGGGAAAAGGAAAAACAACATGAGGAAATGAAAAAATGGAACTAAAGTGTTTGTAAATAAGGAAGGGAGGAGGGGGTGAAGGGAGGGCAGGGGAATGGGGAAAAAATGAGAACCAAGACCTGTCATGTAAAGGTACAAGATCCCAATGATGAATGTAACTGTACTGTATACCTAAAATGTACCAATAAACTCAATGAGAAAAAACAAAAAGAAAAACTATGGGCATTTTGGTAGAAGATAACTAACAATGACCATCAGTCACATCAGTTCTATTCAACTGGGCTGAATCTCCCAATATACGTATCCCCAGGACCTCAAAGTGTGACCTCGTTTGGAAATGAGATCTTTGCAGGTGTGATTAGTAATAAAATGGGATCGAGCTGGATTAGGGTGAGAGCGAAGTTTGCGTGTTGGCTGCTATCTGTCAAACTTTTCCTCCAAGTAGTTTCAAACATCATCTTTTACTCCCATCCTTCAGCTCAAGCCATTGATTGTGTTTATTGCTCCCAAAGATAGCCATAATATCAAATGTTTTTTAGAGACATGGAATATCTGTTAAAATTTGGCTTTTACAAGTAGATCCAGACCCAGGAAGGACCAGAATAGTCAGAGGATCGAGGACCCCCGGCTTCCCCAAGCAGAGCAAAAACATACCTCTGGGCCTGGACTTGAGAGCACAGAAACACAGAGATTCCTCTCCTGTTGCTGATCAGTAATGACCCTCCGCCTAGTGAAACACAAGAAGTCTAAAGTGGGGTTTTTTCCCAAACCTAGAGCTAAAACTTAGGTTTATATTGAGAAATAAAGAGATATTTCTTACATACCTGAGTTTGTGTCCTATGCTTCACTCAGTTGCCCTTTTCATTTTGATGAGAACCAAGATGGCTAAAGAATGGGTGATATTTACAATCAAGGTAATAGAAAGCCAGGATTTCTTCTTCTAAGTACATAATTGATAGAAATGTGGGCATGTGTTCAATAGAAGATATGTTGTTGAAGGTTCCTAGGAGCACTCCCCATAATTGTCTCAAAACTGGAAACTTCCCAATGCCCATTAACAATAGAATGGATAAATAAATGGTGGAACAGACATACATAGTGTCCAACAGTGAGAATGAGAAATTCGCAACTAGCCACAATCTGGATACATCGCAAAACAACATGTTGAGTGAACAAAGCCACAGGATTCCATTCAGACAAACAGCAAAAATAGTCAAATGAATTTGTGCTGTCAGAAGTTAGGAGAGTGGTTATTATGGGGAGAGGCAGTGATTAGAAGGTAATGCAAAGGGCGTGGAGGCTGCTGATCAGAATTCGTAATTTTGCACTCTTCTGTATGGATAGTATCTTTTGATATAAAAAGTTTAGAAGTAATGACAGAGTTATAGAGAAAGTGAGCTAGACATATGGGAACAGATGCATGCAGATAGTAAAATAAGGCCTAGGTTTGAGTTTGTTTTCTTTTTCCTTTGTTTCTGTTGGTCAGGTTAGGTTTTTGGCAGTACTGGGGATTAAACCCAGAGTCTAATGCATGCTAAGCAAGTGCAACTAACACTACGCTATACCCTGAAACCCCAAGGGCCCAATTTCAACAGATTCCCCAAGTCTCTAAAACATTTCTCCAGGGGTAATAAATACAATGGCTTGAGCTGAACAATGGGAGTAAAAGATGATGATTGAAACTACTTGGTGAAAACCTTTGACAGTTAGCAGCCAATCAACAAATACTGCTCTCACCTTCCCTTTCCCCTCACCTGTTGACAATGAACAATAGTGCTAAAGTTCTGAGAGTTATAATGAGTGGAGCTGTGCAAACTCTCATAAATACCCAGAGCATTAGAAAAGAATTGCCATAGCCAGAGATAAACATTTGCATTGGTTTGTTCCTGAGAGTGGTAAAATATATAACTTGCAGTGTTTCTTGGGGAGAATGCTGCTCACTCATAAGTCATAGCAATTTAATGCCTGTTATAAATTGCTACACAATTTTTTCCAAAAGCTATATTGCTGGAATCATGTAGGGCCATATAAAAAGTGTTTTCAGGAAAGTTCCATTTTGGAAAGCTAGGTTATTATGCATCCTCCCTCCTAATTCTGATGAACTAATCAGCATCCCAATGAACCCTATTGGTGGCACAATTAGACTTCTTCAATGAGGCTCACCATAGGTTTTTCCAAGGCCTGAGAAGTGTAATTTTTGCAGGGACCCATGATCCTCTGGAGGATGGGGCCATGAATTATTAATTGCTGGCATTAATTCACACCAAAAAAGTATATATTTGGACATGACCCTTATTATTTCATAAGCATTTTTCCACTTGATTTATTATTCTCCCTCACATGAATACATGTTCATAATCTGCATTACCAGTCCTCTAATGGTGGCATGTCAGATCCAAATGTCACCTCATTATTTCTGACACTCACAGAACCCACAACAGTAAAAGCAAATTATAGACTAGAGAAACCCCAGGAGACTTTACTTGCTACAACAGTAATAAGCTTCAGCATTATTATCCACAGAGACGTTGGCTCTGCATGATGGACGTCTGTGCATATCTATGCAGGGCAGTGGGTAAAGAGATCTATCTCAGGATAGCTGGCCGTTAAAAACCATTCTGAATTCCCTGGCCAAACACCATGGGATTCATTAACAGCTCAATGGCTAATGTGCCCAGTGATTTCATTTCAACAGGCACAAAGCATGGATTTTAGGCAGTGGTTCACTGTCTGAGTCAACTTGGCTGAGGAAGGACCACATTTCCTAGAATGCTTTTTCTATAGATGGATCCATCAGAAATGGCTAGAGGTGAAATATGCCTGGATCTGGGAGGCAGAAATACAGTGGCAGCTATTGCTTTCAGGAAGTCACCATGGATAGCTTGGGGGAAATGGAAGCTGGAGTGTTGGCAGATTCCAGTTTGCTCTGGTTCTCCCTGAAGATGTATCTATCTGTTTTTCCCAAATGCTAGCCTGCTGGCTAACAGACCTGAGAGAGAGAGAGAGAGAGCCTTCCCCACACTCCACCCTCCAGCCCCTGACTGGTCCCTCTAAGAACTGGGCAGTAACTTCCCAGTCCTGTCTGCAGTGTCTGCCTTTCCACATAGGTTGGTGATTCAGGGACTGGTTAATGGCTTTTCCATGATTCTCCAAATTGTCTCTCCAGTTTGAAAAGCTTACATGTTCTTCATGGACTCCTGGTCAGTGGGAACAGTGGAAGTAGGAGGAAACTTCCCTGTTCACCAAATATTTACTGAGAATTTTCAGGAGGCAAGCTCTGATTTCAGAATATAGCAGAGAGAGGACAACCAATATCCTGTCACACCGAGCCTGCACACCAAGTATAGAGATGTAAATTGTCATTTACTGCACCTCACAGCACAGTGGCTGCTGTACTGAGTGTTTTACATAAACAATTCATTTTACCACCAAAAGCAAAACTTTGTGATGTCAGTACTATTATAATCTCCATTTGCAGATGTGAAACCAGTAAATTTGGCCTAAGTATGTTTCCATACGTGGTGTAAAATTTAACCCAAATCGCCTCTATATGTACGTACAGCAAACTGCAACCTACCTTAGTATGTAAACAAACTTCAGTCTAATTCAAGAGCACATTCTTGTAGTATGGCAGGATCCTTCCTCAAAGAATGTGGCCGAGCCCCTCCCAAAGGCGTGAGGTGGAAGGGGGAGTCTTCTCAGAATCAAAAAAGACAATGTGGCTCAGTTATTTCCTAGATATGCATGTGTAGTTCTAGCACTGTTCCGTAACAGAGTGTAGCTAATCAAGCTATAGTATGTTAGTGTGGCACCTTTTAGGGAGGGTGATAAAGATACAAAAATTGTAGAAAAGGTAAAATCCTACCATAGCTCTTGGGTATTAACCCACTGAGCCCTGCGTAGGCACAAATAAATGCTACTTCCTGGAAAAAGCCTCAGAGTCCAGCCTATCTCTGTGAGCATCTTGCTATATAGTAGCAAAGCTGAACCTCAGCCAATCACAGCAGTGGAGTTTCAGCCAATCACTAGCTGGGAAATGACCACACTATGCCCACATAAGGCAAATGTTGACTACAGCTCACCTGATGGCTTCCCAGCGTCACTTCCTTTTTTCTGGTTATAAATATAACCCATACAAATAGTGAGGCGGGGCATTCTGAACTAACTCTGGTCTAGAATATAGACCAGCTCTGGAACATTTTCTTGTTCAAGTAAACTGTGGTAATTTAATTAATCTTAGATTTCTCTTAAACACAGGTAAGGAAACAAGGATAAGAAAGTTTGATATCAACAACTTTAGAATGTAAATACTGATCTTTTCCACTATTAGGTCTCTCTGAGCAGAAAGACAAAGCCCTGGCCCAGAACACAGAGAGCAGGAACCTGCTGGCTCCCAAGCCCATGTGTATTGGTTTGGTTTTGTTTTAATGCATAGAGAAATTGAGTCATCAGTCAAACTGACACTGTATTGCTCCATCTTTCTTCTGTTAATAGACAAATGAGTGGTAGTATGAGTCCAGAAAATAATGTGCAAAAATACTCAACTCTTCATGGTGGATTTGTCTTTAATGCCAAAGAGTAATGGTGATTCTAAAGAATTCTCATTTTCCTAGTCGGACATTTCATAGTATGTGAATTTTTAACAGTGTGGATATATGTTTTTGCAACCAGAAAAACAAATTAATCTGTTAACAGGGCTGGGAGCTTATGTTGTAGTATTGATGCAATTAGAAAACATGCTCACAGCAAGCACCTTTTGTTCACAGGTAGCTGACTGGTTCAGACCTCTCCTTCCTCCCACGCTGCCCTCTCCCTGTACCTTCATAGGCATTTGGAGAACAGCACTGAATTTAGTGATTGCTGCATGGTAATGAAGTCCGAGTTCACCTGTAATTGATCTCTCCTTATACCTTTTTCCCAATTCAAATCAAAGCCAGACCATTCATCATTCCGGCAGGATCCAAAAAAATTGCACACTCCAATCTTTTGAATGTTATCGCCTGCTACTCAGGAAATATTGAACCAAAAAACTTGACAGTGATTATATGATAATTTTAAAATATCATTTATAATTTTTTGTAGTCCTGTCAGAAAACGATCAGTACATATGTATTCTTCAAACTGTGGTACTAATAAAAAAAAGTACAGACTTAAGTTTGCCAATATTCTTGGATTGATTTTACCTTTTTTCCTTTACTCATATTCATTCCTTTCCCAAACCCTCCCATTTCCCCTTCCCCTTCAGACCTTTTATCCTCTATTTCACATTATCTATTATACATTTTGATCTTCTTTTATATTTTCAGTTTCTCAAGCCAGAGAAATTATTTGGTATTTACACATATGTATCCTATTTATTTCATTTATTTCACTTAAGAGTATGGCCTCAATCCCCCATACACACACACACACACACACACACACACACACACACACACACACACACACTCTTATTATGGCCACAGTGTTCATCCATCTAGCTATAAATGTCTATAGTTTCTCATACTTAATGGCTGAGTTGTACTCCATTTTATAAAAAAAATTTTTTTTCTTTTTCTAGTCACCAGTTGATGGGCAATTGCGCTGTTTCCAAGTCTTAACTATTACAAGCTGTGCTGCTATAAACATGGGTGTGCATATATTGCTGTGGTATCTTTTTATGTCAAAGAAAATAATGCAAAACTGAGCTGAAAGTTTACAAAGAGAGACATTTTCCTCATTGGCAGCATCAGTAAGAACTAGGAGTCTAACTAACCAGATTGTTCGCATGAGAGTTAGTATTTTTGAGGTCAATAGGGATTCCAGTTCTTAGGGATTTCCAGTTCCATTGTATAGTTTGGAATGACAAAACAATAAATATAGATTTCACTTATAACTTCATCTCTTGGGAAATTAAAATATACAAAAGACACAAAAATTGTGGATTAAGAACAATAATGGAAATGTATACTTGTATAGCCATTGTGAGAAAAGTATGAAGTTTCCTTTAAAAATTAAAAATAGCAATACCAGCTCTGAGCAGAGTGGACCAGTGAGGAGGAGTAGAGCTGTGTGGAGCTGAGCTGTTACCCTAACCCCACCCCAACCCCAGGCCTCCTAGCAGAACATACCAGTGAGAAGTAGAGCTGTGCAGGCTCTCACAGCCCCACCCCAGTGCCTCCCACCACCACCTGTGGCCTACTAGTTGTGCCAGCACCTGGATCCACATCACAGAGGCATGGGGGGGGGAGGGTCATAAAGGCCATTGTCCTGAGCTCCAGAAGATAGAGCACAAGTGAACAACAGAAAGAGGGCCTCTCTCGGGCTCCTTGATGAAAATTGAAGCCCATTGGAAAAGTGAAGAGAATCTCTGCAATAAAGGCACACCAGACGACCATTGTTGGTAAGTTGGAAAGATCACCACCTTCCATCAGAACCTGGACTATCTTCAGAGGAAGAGCAGCTGGAACCTGCAGTAGAACCTTGCAGAGTTCAACCCTGCAGGTAGTCAGGGAGCTCAACCTGGGCCTTGCAGCCAGATATCAGCCTGAATCGCCGGGATGTGCTGCTGGCTTGCTGAGACTAATTGACTTAGATCTGCACACTGCTGCCCATGTTGTCTATTGTGACAGCAAAGAAATACCCTAAAGGAGGCCCATCATTTTATTTTAATTTTTTTTCTTTTCCTCTTATTTTTAATCTTTAATGTTTTTCTACTCTTCAAATTCTTTTTTCTTTTTTTTTCTTTCTCCAACTCACTTTCTTGCTCTCTCACATTGTTCTTCATCTCACTTTTTGTTCCTATTCCTGCCCTAATCTTAATTTCTTCTTTCTTTTTCTTTTCTTCTCTCTTTTTCCTCCTCTGAATTGTCACTAGTTTCAAAGGAAAGTAAGTACAGTTTCTACCTTCCCTATTGTTGTTAGGTTCTATTCTTGTTTTTGTTCTTTCATTCTATCTTTTCCTTTTGTCTTCAACAGTTTCCTAGAGTTTGCATTATCTTCCTCTGTGCTCTGACCTCACTTATAACCTTTGCCTATCTTTCTACCTATCTATCCCTCTCTCCCCAACTCCTCCTAAGTCCCCATCCTGAAGGGTAAAGTTGCTATATTGAAGAGCTTATTCACTATAGACATATTTTGGGCTGGTCCTCAACTTTGATTAATTCAGACAGTTAAAGGTGATAGATTAATAACTACCATAAATTGAAATTTTCTAAGCTATGCTTGATGCTATTATGTTGCTGATTCCATCACTTGGGCTAAGGTATTGTGAATGAGCTAATGTCCTTCCTGGTATAATGAAAATAAAATTGCCTCAAAGTTATTAGAGACTCAACACCTAAAGACCAGCAATATCTGGAAGGTCGAAGTATTTACCCAGGAATTAAACCAAGGACAATGCGAACAACAAAAACAGAAATGAGAAGACATCTAAGCAAGGCACAAACACAGACTTCCAGCTCACCAAAGCAAATTCTTGGGAAATCAGATGGGAAAGTCTGACAGTCAGCTACCTGGACACCCTGATCTTATAGTACAGCAAGTAACAAAACAGATGAATGAGGCTCTAGAAAAATTCAAAACAGAAATAATTTCCCAGATAACTACAGAGATGCTGAGCAGAATGAAAGACATAATTAGAAACTCTAGAACAGAAACATAAAAAAGAAAAATAGAAGAGTTCAGAACCACAATAGAAGCCATGGAAGCCCAGCATAGGAAAGAAATAAAAACCATGAATGCCCAACATAAAAAAGAAATGAAATTGGCTGGGGATTTAGTTCAGCAGTTCGGTGGCCTGCCTTGCAACCACAAGGACCTGAGTTCAATCCCCAGTACCAAAAAAAAGAAAGAAAAAAAAAATGAAATCAATGAAACAGATTCAAACTGATATCCAGGAGATGACAAACTCTATGAAAGTATACACAACAGACAGAGCCAATCTGAATATAGAATATCTGTTATAGAAGATAGGATGGCAGTCAGTGACCATGAAAAGAGACATCTCTTAAAAACAGTAAGGGATCATGAGAAATCAATCCAATAGCTCCTAGATGATACAAAGAAGAATAATATAAGACTGATAGGAGTCCATTAAAAAGCAGGAGAAAGTACAAATGACATAAAAAATACTGTTCACAGAATTAATGAGAGAAAACCTCCCAAACAGAGCAAAATAATTTGACATACAGATAAGTGAGGCATATAGGACTTCAAATAGCCATGATTTTTTAAAAAATCTACATCTAGACATAATAATGAAGATCTCAGAAACCCAACAGAAGAACAAAATACTACAAGCAGTTAGAGAAAAGAAACAAATTACATGCAAAGGAAAGCCCATCAGAATCACAGCAGACTTTTCAACACAAACCCTCAAGTCAAGGAGAGCTTGGAGTGAGGTATTTCAAGATCTAAAAGAAAAAAAATCTCCGATGTGGACTGATGTATCCTGAAAAACTATCTTTCCAAATTGATGGGGAAATGAGATGCTTCCATGACAATGGACACCTGAGAGACTTCATGAATACCAAACCAGCACTCCAAATGATTTTAAACAATATGCTAGAAAAGACAATGAGGCACAACAGAACAAACCCACCAGACAAGTGAAAAAATTAAAGAGAGAGGGGGCAAAAAAAAGAAAAGCAACAACAGGAAAATAACATGGCAATGATAAGTCAATATGTAAAAACCATGCATAAAATTGGAATAGATGGTCTTTATCTCAACTTGATAAAGGCTATATATGAAAAACCAAAAACCAACATCATACCAAATGGTCAAAAACTGAAACCCATCACGCTATTGAAAATGTAGTTAAAAACTTACCAACAAAGAAAAGCCCAGGTCCTGGTAGCTTCACTGCAGAATTCTACAAGCATTTAGAGAACTATTACCACTGCTCTTTAAACTCTTCAATGAAATTGAAAGGGAAACAATACTTCCAAATCCATTCCTGGAAGTATTACTTTGATTCCAAAACCTGGGAAAGACCCAATTTAAAAACATAACAACAGGCCAATCTCCTTAATGAACATAGATGCAAAACTCAATAAGAGACTGGCAGACAGGAAACAGAGGATCATCAAGAAGATCATACACCCTGACCAAGTCAGATTTATTCCAGGGATTCAAGGATGGTTCAATATACATACATCAATAAATGTAATACACTATATTAACAGAGTAAAAGACAAAAACAATATGATCATCTCAATAGATGCAGAAAAAGCACTCAACAAAATCCCACACTGATTCATGATAAAAACCCTACAGAAAATTGGAATACATGGTCTTTATCTTAACTTGATAAAGCCTATCTATGAAAACCCAACAGCCAACATCATATTAAATGGCCAAAAACTGAAAACCTTAATGCTAAAATCAGGAACAAGACAAAGATGTCCACTATCACTGCTCCTGTTCAATATAGTTTTGGAAACATTAGCCACAGCAATTAGACAAAAGAAATAAAAGCCATAAAGGTAGGAAAGGAAGAATTTAAGCTGTCATTATTTGCTGATGATATGGTACTCTACATAGAATACCCAAAAAAGTCCAACAAGAGACTTCTAGACTTAAATGATAGATACAGCAGAGTAGCTGGATACAACAGCAATACTCAAAAATCAATAGCTTCTTATACACAAATAACAAACTCACTAAGAGAGAAATTAGGGAAACAACTCCTTTCATAATAGCACCCAAAACATGAAATATCTAGGAATCAATCTAACAAAGGAAGCAAAAGGCCTCTACAATGATAACTATAGACTCTGACAGAATACATCAAAGAGGATATAAGAAAATGGAAAGACATCTCCTGTTCCTGGGTAGGAAAAATCAACATAGTGAAAATGGCCATACTACCAAAATTCAATGCATTCCCTATTGAAATCCCAACAGTATATTTCACAGAACTAGAGAAAACAATCCAAAAATTCATTTGGAACCAGAAGAGACCTAGAATTGCAAAAGCCATTGTGAGCAACAGAGACATGGCAGGGGGTGTCACAATCCCCAACTTGAAACTATACTACAAAGCCACTGTGATAAAACAGCATAGCACTGGCAAAGACACAGACCCAAGGATCAGTGGAATAGATTCCAAGATACAGAAACAACACTGGATGTACTCAGCTACCTCATCTTTGACAAAGCAACCAACCATCCTCACTGGAGAAAAGATAGCCTCTTCAATAAATTGTGTTGGAAAAATTGGATTTCAACCTGCCAAAGATTAAAACTAGATCCCCATCTTTCATCATGCACTAAACTAAAATCCAAGTGGATTAAAGATCTAATTATTAAAACAAAAACTCTAAACTTGCTAGAAGACAAGTTAGGTAGAACTCTTAAAGACATTGGCATAGGAAACAACTATTAACAAACCCTCAGTAGCATGGGAACTAGCAGAAAGAATCAACAAGTGGGGTCTCATCTTCTTAAAAAGCTTTTGCATAACAACAAAAACCACCAAAGGAGCTAAGAGACAAACTACAGTGGGGGAAAACATTTTACTAGCTCTTCCTCAGACAAAGGTCTACTACCTAGACTATATAAAGAACTAAAAAAAATCAGACCCCCAAAATATAGAGACCCAATTCAAAAATGGGCATCTGAAATGAATAGACACTTTTCAAACAAACAAGTAAAAGTAGCAAACAAATATATGCAAAAATGTTCAACATCACTGGTCATTTGAGAAATGCAGATGAAAACAACCCTGAGATTCCATCTCACCCCAGAAAGAATAGCTGCTATCAAGAAATCAACTGATAAAAAATACTGTTTGGGTTGTGGGGAGAAAGGAACACTTCTCCATTGTTGGGAGTGCAGACCAGTGCAACCACTGTGGAAAGCAAAATGGAGATACCTTAAACAAGTAGGATTAGAAGTTCCATTTTACTCAGCTATTCCCCTGCTGGGTATCCTTCCAAAAGAATGAAAAGAATCATACCACAGCAATATATGCGCACCCATGTTTATAGTAGCACAGTTTGTAATAGCTAAAACTTGGAAACAGCCCATTTGCCCATTTGTTGGAGACTGGATAAAGAAGATTTGGTTTTCCTATAAAATGCAGTACTACTCAGCCATAAAGAATGAGAAACCCCATTCCCATTTGTTGGAGACTGGATAAAGAAGATTTGGTTTTCCTATAAAATGCAGTACTAC